AGAGAGACGGAGAGAAGGAGGAGGATTGAGGTCTGTAAGAACGCTCATCGAAAGCCAACGGCTGGTGTGAGGTGAAAGATGAGCAGTTTGAGAGAAAAATAAAAGGAAAACAAAGAGAAGGAAAGGAGTTGGTGTGTGGAATATCTTCATATAACAGAAAAGTTACACAAAAACAAGAAAACAGCACAGTTTACATGGAATATATGGTGTAAATATAAAACTGCATTGAACGCTAAACCAGTACAGAGGAAAAACTTTGTTAAAGTGTGCAGATTGTTCAGTTTTATGGGAGTTTTGTTGAATGCTGTTTCCCAAAATAGTGAAAACTGTTTGTGGCCTAGATAACTTTAAATTCTCGACGGTTTAGTGGGTAAACCACTTATTAGTCCCGTACAAAAGAAAAAGACACAGGAGAGCATGACTGATTTCCTTCTGCTCTCAGCAGTATGAAGACACGTGCAAATTGAAGAACAAGTCGGGGGGAAGTGAGATGCAGAAAACGGGAAGTCAGGTCCTGGATTCCATCTGCATCAGTGAGGCAGAAAAACAGGCTGTTCTCACCCTTATCAGAGAGGAGGTACACTCTTCTATCACACTCATTCTTCAGTGTTGCATGTCATCAGTGTACTTTTTTTATTTACTTGTATTTTTTTACTTTGACAAGGTTTCATTCATGCACACAGTTCATGCTCACAGGAAACATCTTCTTTCAGATCATCACTAAGGAGGCTGAAGTCAGTGACTGGAAGAAAAAGTATGAAGACTGCAGGAAAGAAGTGGATGAGATGAGGTTAGAAATATGAGAAACCACTACCATGAGAGTGGTCGCGTAAGGTTTTGATAAACTATGATAGGTTAACTTATCTCGCCTCTATCACCTTTAAAAGCAGAATGAATGAATATGGAGCTCTTAGAAACCATTCTGTGTCTTATTACAGAAAGATTGTTGCAGAATATGAGAAGACAATCGCTCAGATGATTGGTGAGTGGAAATACTGAGAGATATATTTGAACAGTTTCTAACCCTGACATAACAGACTGTTATTTTCCATCAAATCAAACATTTCAAAGAATTTGTGTTATCTCTTATCGAGCCTGCAGTTATGATTTCTGATGTCACATCAGTGAAAAACCAAATTCCTCCCTGCTTGTGATTAAAAATGCAATATTTCAAGCAGTTAAGTCTGAGAAAAAGTTGTGTACCACGCCTTAACAATAGCTGCTTCTTCTTCTGTCAGAGGACGAGCAGCGCAACACTGTGAGTGCCCAGAAGACTTTGCACACAGTGACGATGGAGAAAGACGCTGCCCTGGCAGACCTGAACTCAGTGGAGCGCTCGCTTTCTGACGTCTTTCGCCGTTACGAAAATATGAAGAGCACCCTGGAGGGCTTTAAGAAAGTAAGGGGTATATGCCTGTCAAGTCCAAGTGCTGTGATGATGAGCTGATAGTAGCACAAATTGGAGGATTGTAAGAGGATTAAGGTCAGAATAAGGTTGGATGCTATCCTGTGATTAAGGGCAGTGGTCTTAAGAGCAACAACACAGGTTTAGACCAATATTTCATGGTTCCCAGCTTTGTCAGATGCCACATAAAAACCAAGTGTATGCTGAAATCTTTACCTCAGTTTGGTCCAGGACTTAAATAGAGTCCTCACTTTATGTGGTTGTATTGGAAAGACTTCTAGGTGTAAACATGTTAAATTACAGTGTAGGGCATTACTCTAGTTAAAGACCCGAGTTAAGGGAAGAATTAGAATAACAAAAGCATTCACTGTAAAGATGACTTCTAAGGTGCACTGTGTTTGGTTCCGCATGGAGAATGAAGAGGTGTTGAAGAAGTGTGCACAGGAGTATCTGGCCAGAGTCAAGCAGGAGGAGCAGAGATACCAAACACTAAAGCTGCATGCAGAGGAGAAACTGGACAAGTATGTAGAGAGCAAATATAAAACTACAATAAGAAACGAAACACTCGACAGATTCAGTTTCTGTTAATTATCTCATTTCATGCATCTCTTAGAGCTAATGAGGAGATCGCTCAGGTGCGTGCAAAGGCGAGCGCAGAAAACATGGCGATGACCGCCAGCCTGAGGAAGGAACAGATGAAGAACGAGTCTCTGGAACAAGCCCTGCAGCAGAAGGTGAATTGCATCATGGATACAAAATCTGCTCTGAGCCCCTTTTTGTGTGTAGTAGTGATGGACAGGCTGACAGAGGAGGACTATTATGTTTAGAGAAGACATTGTCATTTATAGCGAGAGTAGGGAGCAAGTGCAAGAGAGTCTGGAGAGTTGGAGGTATGCACTTGAGATAAGAGCAAGCAAGACAGGTGTGAAGCTGCAAGGAGCAGAGATGGTGAAGGTGGATGAGTTTAACCTGGGGTCAGCGATCCAAACAATCGACAATGCAGTTCAATTCACTTTTATTTATACAACGCCAAATCACAACAACAGTCACCTCAAGGCACTTTATATTGTAAGGTACACCCTACAATAATACAGTAATAAGACAGTGAAGAAGAGAGTGCAGGCAGGGTGGACATACAGAAGGGTGGTGTGACAGAGGTACATAGTAGGGATGAGGTGAGAAGGATGCAGATGATCCGCTGTGGCGACCCCCAAAGGGAAAAGCCAAAAAAGTAGTTGAATACAATAAATAGTCTGGACTTTGATTGGATCATTTCCAAATAAGCGTACTTAAAGAAACAATCCGATTAATATTTACATATGATTTGCACTTGTATTTGTTAAACTAAAGGGATCCTGCAGCTGGCTTGCGCTGCCACTCAGCTGAGGTGCACACCATGAAAGTTTAGTTACAGCTTGTCACACTTGAACGATCACGAGCCACTTCCTTCTACAGTGAAGTTTGCTAAATAGAAATTTGTTCCTACATGAAACTGCTTACAAGAAAACTTTTGTTGTGTTTTTTCTTCTTCTGGGTATCTAGGTCATGATTTCTGGCAAATGACAGTGCTGCTGAGTTTAAAAAAAAAAAAGCATTTTTGGTGGTTAGATGGTATTTACTTACTTTCCTCTATTCTGTTTTTTTACAGAATCAAGAGATCGAAGAACTGACAAAAATCTGTGACGAGCTGATTGCCAAAATGGGAAAAACAGACTGAGGATTTCTTTATGGGAATCAACCATGATTGTCCGTTCCTCTGGCCCCGTGCATGCATTCAGCCCTGAAGCAGTTCTTATACCCTGTACCTGCCCTGCATCTCAGAGCCTGCTTATGTACAGACGTCTAAAGTAACTTCTTGTATACTACGATTGCACTACATGTGACAGGAACCAAGAACGCTCTATACATGTTAATTACGTGTGATTATCTTAGTTTGTTTTGACTTCGTGCCCATTTTGAGGCCATCTGGGGGCCTTGTGCTTTTGTCAATCATTCCTGCGAACAACAGCTCAATTGTGACTAAATTTTCCCAGCAGCTTAACCGCTAAATTCCCAGCAACTCCTCATGCAGGGTGACATCAGATTTAATCTAGGCCGAGATTTGTTTTAAAGTTACATTTCAGCTCAGTTTTGTAGAAGGAATATTTTCTATAAAAGAAGCAGTCTATAAAGTGTATTTTTCTACGACACAAACGTGGGTTCTATGCTCACCGAGGAAGGCTCAGGGGCATTTCGTCAGGGTTGAATGAGGTCAAGGTTAAAGTCAAGCTGCACAAAACAGGAAGAAAGGGGTTTAGGATCATTTGAGGAAGTACAGCAGCCCACAGAGGCTTTTGTTTGTTTGTTCAGTTATGATATTGAAAGCAAGCTGCACATAATTAATATCATTTGTTTAAACTGGTTCAGACAGCGGCACATTTGGGATGCTCGACAATTCAAAAAGCCACAGAATATTAATCAGTCACTTTATATGTAAAAAAAAAATTAACCTGACAATCACATAAAGATTCACGGCTTCATCCTGTGTGCATAAACACAAATTTGACTTACTAACTGGTGTTAATGATTGCGAACAGCTGGAAAGGAGAAAAAGAGTCACTCTGTATGTCAGCTGAAGGCTAAAGGCTATTATATTATTTTAAGTGCTGCTGTTCTGTGTGTCAGCAGTTTTTGTTTAACTTTCAGTATGTCACCGATTGCTCACTAAATCACATTTATCTCTCAGACTTTGACACCTTTGTATTTTTTTCCATTGCTTATGTGCGATGATGAACATGTGAGCCTTATTGCTTGTGTTTACAGCAGTACACTAGTAATGCAATAGAAGAATATCAATTTATTGCATGTTTACTTTCACATCTTTGCATTTTTCAGAATGCACACAGTTTTTTCTTAGCACACCAATAAAAACTAGATCGGCACAGCGCCGCAACAACAGTAAAATTAGAGCTGGTTCCCATATTATACAGTAAAAAGTTTTCTCTTTTAGAAAAACAAAAAATGTGTGAAAAGATCAAAGCTCATTCAGGTTTTATCATAAACTAAAAATATAAGCCTTTCATTTTGATGTTGGTACTTTTTGGTCAGTCACTACTGTAACTTTCTTAATGTCGGATAACTTAATTGGCTTTGTAACTTTAGCCCCTGTAATTATTTAAATATATATTTGTGAATTAGAAATGACGATCTCACTCCTGTGTGGAAGCGACTTGAGCGTTTGTACATCCTTCCTGAATAAACCTAAATAGAATTTGTTCTGCTATGTTTGATTTTTGTTTTCCTGTCTGAGTTCTCTGTATGTGTCAGTGTGCATGTGATGGCCGCAGCTTTGGACTCGCTGCTGATTACAATGCATAGCGCTTACAGTTTACACATACATTACATTTTATATGCACACTGTAAAAAGCTTTAGTAGTTAGAAAAACAAACAAATTACCTCATAATTCTGTTAATAACACCAAACTCTAACTGTGTGTCTCTCCCTGGGAAAGCTTGCTTTAAGTCAATTACAGCAGTGTGCTGGCTGTGCATCATAGATGGAGATTACAACGATAAGACTTTAATGCCCTCAGACACCTTCCCCTCCAGTTCCACCTCAACCTCCCGTGTCTCCTCCATCAGACGCTCATCTCGGCTCATCCACTCTTTCTCTGGACTCTTGAAAAGACACAGTGACCCATCGCCCTGCTGCCATGAAGACTGCTCTGGCTGTGCTGCTGCTCATCTCTCTGGCCTGCCACAGTAAGTTTTTAGGAGGAGGGATCAACTTTGCTGATTACATACTAATTGGAGACTGTGGTGGAGAGAATCCATTTTGGGGGGAGAATTAGTCACTATATTTCAAATTAAGCCTGTCTGTTGGACATACTTAAATACCTTTGAGTGTGTGCAGATGTTCCCCAGTCTCAAATTGTAGGAGGCAACAGAAGCTGGATACTCTGCTCAGTGTGTGTGTGTGTGTGTGTGTTTACACCTGTGTGTACAGGTGAATGGACTAATAAGAAGGTGGTTGCATATCTGCATGCTTGCAGCCACTTTTTGAATATGCATGCTTAGTCTCAAGCCAGGCACTCTCTCCTGTTCTGTCTGTGAAGGCCATGCTCTCAAATGTCACACATGCGTGGCGTCCAATGAGGAAGACTGCAACCGTCAGGGCTCCACCCCCTGTCCTCAGTATGCTGATGCCTGCTCCACCATCACAGGGCCCAGTGAGTAAACACTCACACACATATACATGTACAAACACACACAGAAAAACAAGCAGAACCAGTATGATGTGGCTGGATACAGTAGTGCCTCACTAGAGGTCAGCACGACACTGACAACCCACTGCTTGATTGTGTCACAGATTCAGGAAACCAGTGCTCCTTAAAATAGTGCTCAAACAGTTTCCATTTCCATAAAAATAGTTTTTTTTAGTCAATATTAAAATCCATAAACCACAAACTAATAAAACTCACTTAGCCGCTTCTCTTTTCTCGTGCATTTAGCTGAAGGGGCCTGTGGCAAGACCTTTTTGTGTTGATAACAAAAATCTGAGATTGTTATTTTCACAGTGAATTTGTAACAGATCAGATGCATCCGATGATATTCTATGCACTAAAATGATCTAAAGTTTTTTTCACATATTGGTCACATGACATCTTTTATGTGTGTGTCCATTTGCGTGCTTGGAAAGTCTTCAGTTACTTCAGCGCAGCTTACCCATCACCCTCTCTGACCCGATCTCTTTCAGACACAGTTATGAAGTCGTGCACATACAAGGCCTTCTGTGAGAAGGCTAACAGCGGCACTTCCGGAGCCAAGATGCATTGCTGCTTTGGCGATGACTGTAACGGGCCCCACAAGAGTCACAGCCACGGTGGTCATCACAACAGCACAGGGGCAATTTCTTCCAGCCCAGTCCTGCTGATCACAGCCCTGCTGCTGCGTATGGCCTTGAGTCAGCTGTAAATTCCTCCTCCTCCCTTTTTTTGTTTTGTTTTCCTTCCAGTGATTCATCACCTCCTCTTTATCTGTTTTATTTTTAAGTTCAAAAAAGGGATTTGAGTTGCAGAGAGTTTCATGTGGTTTGTGACAAATATCAAGTTTTAACGAGGGTTTTTGACGGCTGTGGTGGAAGGGAGTGTGGTCTGTTCTGCAGGTACAAGCTGCTTTAAAGCAGCTTCCTTTGTCTAAGTTATCATCCTCTCAAACAGTACCCTTGTTCTCTGTAGCAGCTTGTTAAATTTAAGAGGATTTGAACCTGGGGAGTGTTTGTGGTGAATAAATGTGTACAAAGTTAAGAACAGCTCACAGCTCTGATGCACCCAGGGGGGGACTCGGGTGTGGTTTTGGTAACTAAGTGCTGGGGTGCCTCACTAGTTTAGTGCACAGCTAGCTTGCTTCACACCATAGAACCACAAAACAAATCTCTTTCGCACGGTAATCTGAAACTGATTTAAAAGGTTTAAAATTGTCTGTGATGATGCTTTATGTTATCTGTATGCAAGCTTGTCTGAATAAAGACCTAATCACACCCTTGTTTCGTGTGTGGGTGCAGTGCATGGTAAACTGTGGCATTTGGCACACTGCTCCTCACTAAATTTGTGTTTATGTTAATGTCTCTGATGTAAAAGCACACCTCGGGCGTCTTCTGTACAGTAAAGGAAACATTCAGTCTGTGATTTTCAGCAGCAACAGAAGGGTCTGCTGAAACTTCAAAGCTTCCTTTTGCAACAGTGTAAGTTAATTTCTGTGCAGTCGCCACAGGATATGAAATCAGTGAGGTAGGTCTCAGTCCTGAGGCAGGTCATATGACGTGCAACCACTTCCTCTTAACAGGAGGACACAATTTTTGCCGAAAGCAACAAAAGTGAGCACAGAATCCCTCCTGTGAATGTAGATATTTGTTATTTCAGCACTTACAAAGGTGTCGTGCTCAGATCCAGGAGAGACTTTACATGTGTGAAAACTTTAAAACCAGAATCTTGACTAAACTTGGAGTGAGATGTTGAAACTGAGAAGTCAGGTCAGTTCACCTTTTAAGCCCTCTTTTTTTTAATCACTCAAGTGTTTTATCACAGACCTCAATTGTGGTCACTTTTGTGTAAAGGTGGAATAAAGCAGGCTTTAAGCATTTTTATTAGAATACGCTGAGTTTCTTTACATCCTGTGGCAATGTCAAATGGATGACTTATTATTTTACACAACATTTAACACTGAAGTTGCTGTTTTGCAAGTTAGACAAATTTAAGATACTTGCTAAAGTTTTATATATGAGGTAATGTGTTAAAAAGGATCCTTTCTGTACAAGTTTAAAGCCTGAATTTCCATGAACACCTTTGACTGACAGCCTTAAACTCCTCCACACTTGCATATATTTGCTTTTGATGTGTCTTCTTTAACTTTGGATGTTTGTCTCTGATAGCACTGGGCTACACTAGTGCTTTGTCGTTGTGCTTCAACGGTCGTGCTTCGGGATATAAGGTTAGTAAATTATAAGTCTGATAACCACAAATGCTTTTTCATGGAATATGTTTTGCATATTTTTGTTGCACGGGATCACATGCAGCTACAACACTCAACTCTTCCAATAGCACGCACTAATCGGCATAACCGACCGTTTTCTCTTTATCTAAATAATGCAGGACTTTCATGCAGGCGTGCGGCTGCTATTGATGACACTGCGGTCATGTGACACGAGAATTTATGGGGTTAAAGGTCTGCAGAGGAGATCTATCAGCAAATACACTTACAACTACACGGCGAAGTTGATTTTTTTTTTTTTTTCCTTTTTAATGTGTGAAAGCGTTTGAAACAGCATTTTAAAGGGTTCCCGTGAAGCAGTTAATATCTTTAAATTTGAACAACAGCTCCGCTTTTGGTGGAGAACCTTTAACTTTAGGCTTACTTCATATATATATTTTAAAGCACCAACTGTTTTTGGCATAACATCTCGCACCTGTCAGCCTCACCTACCAGCGGTAATGACACTGAGTCTCGTATTCCTGTTTATCCAGGTTTACACTCCCTTCCGTTTCAGCTGTTCTATGTGAACTACCGGGTTCATCTGAGCGTCTCGTGTTTGTCGTTTTTTGTTTTGGTTTTTTTTGCAACTTACACTACTTTTATCTTCAGTTTTATGTGTGTGTGACAGAGAAAAAAGACCTGTTCAGATTAAAGCAACAGCAGACAGGAGGAGGAGGAGGAGAGCCCTGCTTGTGCTCATGGGACGCATAGATCACATCCGGGGCTGGTTTATTCTAATAACGAAACGTCCAACCCGGAAAAAAGGACAAGTCTTCTGTAATCGGATCACACAAACAAATTGAAGAGGGTGTCGGAGTTTCACGCACGCCGGTCTTGCGAATATCCACGGCTTATTTTAGGTTTTAAAAACTTTATTTAGCATGCTTCTGTTCACCAAACTCGCGTCTCTCTCCGCTGCTTCGTAGCCCTGCGGGGCGCTGGCTTTGGCGCACGCCGACTCTCCATAGCGGGTAAGTTAAGTCGACAGGGGTACTTTGTGACTGTGTGTGTGTGTGTGTGCGCGCGCGCGGTACAGTAGGTGTGGCTGGCCGTTGAGTCGTTGGATCTGGTGAGTCAGTGCAGGTCATCTGAGCTGAACAAATGTAATGTCTGTCAGGTGTTGCTGAGTAATTGCGCCTGATCACATTTTGACACTTTTCATTGCATGCTCATAATCACGTTGGACATGCACGCGCATGGCAGTCAAGCTTGGTATCCAGGGGCGTGCTGCACGCCGCTGCTTTTACTGTCAGTTAAACGATTTGCTCGATTAACTGGTCCACAAAATGCCAAACATCTTAAAATAGAGCTCCAGACTAGACGAAAAACCCCCAATTGTGTTCCGGATTTCAAGATCCGGATTTCTGCTTTTGTATAATCCTTTAAGATCATTTTATTTATTTATTAAATTTTACATAAAAGTGATTGTAGGGAGTGTTGAAACTACTTGGGTGCAGATTGTTTGATGACACAACAAACTGTATTTTTATTTTTATTTTATTAAGGAGCTATTCACCGTTTTGCACACCTCAAAGTTAACTCAAATGCCAGAGGAAGAACTACCGAGCCTGTCTTTAGCAGCTCTGGGGTGAACTTTGATAAATCTGAGAACAAAGTAAAGCATTTACCAGGCAGAAAAAAGATGCTGTAATATGTCTGTAACAAGTTCCCCCAACGATTAAGAAGAACATGACTAAACCTCTCAGACATGCCACACATTGGTCTAAGAGATTTACTATCAGTTTCTGTCAGACTGTGTTGTGTTTGCACACAGATGAAGCAGATATGTAAAGGTGCTGTAGGTGGGTTTCATTTCATTACCTTGGATGTGGTATAAGTCAATTAATATCGCTGCTGTGATCTGTACATTCTGTTTTCCTGCACACAAACTGATGATTGCTCTGTTTATATTATCCTGCCACGTTTCAAAGCTAAGGTACTTGATAGAAATGTAAAGACAGTTGAAATGACATTTGTCAATGTAGTTTTACCAAAGATGCCACAGCTTCGCCGCTGCTTGTCTTTATAATGGCTAAGCCAGATGTTTTCTGATGCCCAAAATGGTTTATTGTGCACATGGATGCATGTGTGGGGAGTGTGCTACTGTCAGAGCTGACCTCTGTGGCATCGTTTTCATTTTTCCATTACACCAAGACTTTCTGTAGAGCGCCTCTGTATCTTTGACCTATTTAAATAGCAGCAGACTAACACATCAGAAGCACAACCCACTAATTTTTTCAAAGCAGTTTCAAAATGAAACATTTTCTTACCCATGAACTCAAAAATAGATTCACTGGAGATTCATCGGCACGGTGAAGACATAGTCTGTGTTTGTCCTCTGTTCCTCTGAGCGGGTTGTCTGAATATTTTCATGGAAATGTTGATAATTTCCATCTCCTGAAGGCTTCCGAGCCAGGACGAGCCCGTAAAAAAGTACTGGCAGGGCGCACGGCCATTCAGTCTTGATTATGTATTTTATATGACTGTCACGTTATAATTTTTGGTCTTGTATAAAAAGATCAGTCACAGATGTGGCCTAGTTTGCCATCATATTACCTTTGTGGCCTCATTACATTCAAGTTTTTCCATAGATTCAAATCTAGTAAGGATCTTCCAAATGGATCTATTAATTTATTTGATTATTTATTTTACTGGGTGCATCCAACTTTGGAGTTTGTCTTTGTGATTACTTCACATTTAGTTGACAGAGATGCAAAAGAGGCTCCGTCAACAGTGAAAGTTCCTTTGGCAACTTAAGGAGGACAAGAAAATAAATGAAGCCATAAGCCTTGTGGTTCCCCATTAGAAAAATAAATACTATGAGATGTTTCCCAATTGATAAAATGTCATTGAAAGTCTATAGAGCTGAGGCTCTCTGGGCTGAATGAGCCTCGACTGTGTTCAGGAATCAGTCAGCAGCTTGGTGATTCACACGCATGGCATTGTTTCAATGAACACATCTCACCAGCTTTCTCCCCCTCCTCTCATCTTCTCTCTTCCCTCCCTCGCTCCCTGCCTTTCCTCCCTCTCCTCTCTCCTTGCTCCTCTCTCTTCTCTGGCCAATGGAAATGTGCGTGTGTGCAGATCATGAGTGCAGTCTGTAATTTTTGGCTGTGGTGGAGGGCCTCAGCTCAGCCTCGGGCTTCAGGGTTTGCTGCACAGCCTCAATCACGTCACATGAAAAACTGCTGAGTGCGAGTGGTCTATTTCTTCCTGCGTGTGTGCGCGCATGCATGCCTGTGTGCGCTTGAACACTAAATGAAAGATGATTTATCCTCCACATCTGCCTGTCTTTGCCTCCTGTTGCTCCCTTCACACGTTGTCTCTCTTTGTCCATCCCACTCGAATCTTTCTCTTCCTAACTGTCCGTCTGTCCTCAGTGATATGTGATATCGACAGCATGCCGTACGTGGACCGGTTGAACCGTGTGTGCGGCTTCCTGGACATCGAAGAGAAGGAGAACAGCTGCCGCTTCCAGAGACGATACTTCATCCTTGACACGCAGGGAAATGCACTGCTGTGGTATATGGACAACCCTCAGGTGCTCCACACGCGCATGCACGACCCACACTTTCACAAATAGCAAGAGGAAATGAAATTGACCAATAGTGGTCATATAACCTTGGACTCTGAGCCAACGACAAGTCTGTGTATTTGTGTTTGTATGCAGAACCTGCCCAGTGGAGCCAGCTCTGTTGGCAGCCTGAAATTAACCTACATCTCTAAGGTAAACCACTTTCATGACTGACTCCGCAGTGTGGTTGCATACAGTAAAGTCCAGCGCACCAACTTAGATATCTAAAATGCGAGCACACAAGAATTCACAGAATACACACAAATAGCATGCAAATTCGTGCAAGAGTTCATAGATACACAAAGAGGTCAGAGCTATCTCTAGTTAACGGTCACATGCAGCGCAGAGCTGAGGCAGACGCTGTGAAGTTTTCCAGATGTCAGCGCTCTCACTGAGGTAACCACAGATAATGACATCTGGCTCCTCTGCACTGCAGCGC